AATCACATCATTGACATTACATAAATCACATAAGCAAATTATTCTAAATCAGGCCTTAATCCTATTTTTGTCAGTGAATGCCTTATTTAACGACATACATTACAATAAAACACATTACATCATTGTTGATGTTCAATCCACCTTCAAGCCTCATCTTTGCTTGAAATAATCCAAACTTGTTTTTATGAGTGTTTTTTACAGATTAAGTTTAATAGTTACATTCCAAAAGTAGTCAACAATCCTCAAAACTTCAAAAAGGGGAGTGGCACAAAGCTGTATCTGTGCAAGCGAGGAGGTCTCTGACTAATGTTTGATGAATGCTTACCCTGGTAAGAGTGGGTGTCAATAGTGATCCCATCTGCCTGCACAATGGTCTGATTGTTGGAATGGAGCGCCCTCTTAAATCCTGAACTTTAGTCAAACATCCTTAACGTTTGTTTGGCACAAAACTGAGATCAGATTTTCCCACATTTACTGCAAAGGAAGCAAAGGAATCTCAACATATAGTTGATTAAAAAAACAAAGACTGTCCTTAGAATCTTGCAATACAGTTGAAACCACAGGTTTACGTAATCTCTTATTTTAGGTCAACTTTTGATCACCAACATTAGTTATATTTGCTAAATGTCACAATAATAACAGAGAACTGTTAGATCAGATATAGATATTGTCTTTTAAATTAGAATTTTGCATACAGAATGATTAATTTTTTCTTTAAATAACGAAGGAACTTCTCGAGGGACGCCTGGTAGAGTATTCACAAGTCATGCCTTCAACACACTTTCTTGTTTCACGGAAAGGGAAAGTCCAAAGAAATCAGCCTGGAAATCTATCGTGGAGCCACACAGGTCCATTGGGAACCATTTCTGGATGCTTGAAGATGCATCCATAAATGTTTCAAAAACAATTAATGTTTTAAAACAACTAACTGCTAGTTTAGACTTGATGGGAATTTCCAAACATCGTATCACTCAGACGGGTTCTGTGTTCCAGAGAGGAATGTGTTTTGGTCCAAAATGTGCAAATGAACCTAAACAAGAGCCAGGTGATGATGCCAGCCTGAAGTGTAAAGAAAATACAGTGAAAACACCAGAAAATTCAGTTTTTGGCAAAACTGAACACATGAAACACTTTTTAGAGATGTTTTAATGTTTTCAGTGACGCAGTAACCTAAATGTCTGATACATTTACTTTAAAACATAAACATTTAGAACCAGATCAGTTTGTCTTGATTGCCTGAAATGCTCTGTTGTCTTTTAACTTGATATGTTCACATATTTAGAAAAAACACTTAATTTCCTTGTTTTTATGTCTATGGATAGTTCAGTGAAAGAAACAGTGAAATCCTATTTTGGAACGTATTTGCCAGACTTGCGTAGCTTAATGAATGTTGGGAACTTTTCCCTGTGAAATCCGGATATCAGGGTTTTAAAGAAAATGCTGAGCAAATATGCTTTCATTAATCTGGGTTCTAATCTGTCAAACTAAATGTTTAACTTTAACTTTTAAAGTCAAAGTTAAACCATGGATTACATACAATAACTAGGAATAAATGGTTCAAAACTGTAGATATTTTTGTTTTTATTGTTGTGTCTTGCATTACGTATTCTGACATGTGGGACAACTAAATTTTCATCTGAACAGTGACCTTATTTTTCTGGTTCTTGTTTTTTTTCCTTCTGTTTGTCTTTACAATGTTCCTTACACTTGTGTTTTTGTTTGGTTGAAAACTTGTGTGGTCTGAGACGATCTTTCCACCTGTGAAACTGTTAACCACTTTTGTTGTTGTTGTTTTACGCAGGTGGAGATGAGGAATACATCTACATGAACAAAGTGGTTGTTTCTGGAAAAGACAAAGGTGACAAAGGTAAGAGATGAGAAGTGTTTTGTTGCTAAAAGGCGACAAGTCATTGGGAAAAATTCTGTCTTATTTTTATATTTATGCAGACTTGTGAAGACCATTTAAGTGGTGAAGCCATAAGGGGGTGTACTTTCTTTCTATCATAGCTGTCGTAATCTAACAATTGATGCCATGCATGCATTACAGAACAGTTCAAATGACTTAAGAGTATTCATTTAAACCTGCCAGCTTGTTAGCATTTGATTGCCGATCATCTTGTGTTGTGCAGGATTACATTTCATAAAGTCGTCATCTAGACATGTAACAGTTATATTTAAACGTTTCAGATAACCACAACAATCAGTTAATAAATTCAAGACTGAATGCAAAGTAGAGTATTCAAATAAAGATTTTATTTCTTCAATTAGAACAGTGTGAAAAGGTAAATGTTAAATCACTTCAGCAAAACCTTTCTGACAACATGAAGTAAGCTTCATCACATTAAACTGACACGTCATGCACTGATATAAAGAAATTACAGAACCTATAAGAAGCAAACTAACTGAAATCTGTCAAACTGGAAATACGCACAAGGCATTTGTACGGCTTTGATAATACTCCAAACCACACAGTGTTGCTTCCCAAAACACATGAATCACTGGTGAACCTTCTCAGAAATTTCTGGTCTACCAAAGTTACTCCCAAATATATCAGTGACTCATCAAGGAGGTCACAAAAGAACCTACAACATCTAAAGTTTTGGTATTGTCATTTGTGTGTTATGTTTAGTGTTAATGACTCAACGATAAGAAAGATACTGTGAATTCAAGAACCAGACCCATGGCTGATCACAAAGACCAGGATCGCATTTGGCAAAAAAAATAATAATTAATATATAAAACCAAGACTTTTGGGACAATATTCTGTCTGGACAACATGCTGAAAACTTTAGCAGAAAATTTTGTAGGAAAATCAGTTTGTGACCAAACCACTCCAGTAAAATGGCATCTGAAAAAAAAGTACAAAAAAATGGCACAATTTTTCACAGCACTGTTTAAGAAGCTGTATTTTAGTGTTTTGTTCAGTTTTGGATATGTATGTACAGCACTGTTTAAGAAGCTGTATTTTAGTGTTTTGTTCAGTTTTGGATATGTATGTATGTATGTATGTATGTATGTATGTATGTATGTATGTATGTATGTATGTATGTGTGTGTGTGTGTGTGTGTGTGTGTGTGTGTGTGTGTGTGTGTGTGTGTGTGTGTGGTGTGTGTATGTATGTATGTATGTATGTATGTATGTATGTATGTATGTATGTATGTATATGTTGAGTTTTAGACATCACTTATCTTTTTGTTTTTTGACCTTACATTATCAAATTCATCTTGTTTAATGTTTAACTTTAAATGGAATGTTTGTGATGAAGTTTTAAAAGAAAAGTTCTCACCTGTTGGACTCTTGTATTTGTTATGTGTTGTTGTTTGGTCTACACAGTGCACACAAACACCATTATCACATCTCAAAGTTAATTTAGAGTGAAATGAATAGCAGAAAAGATAAGCTGCTGCAAGCAGAGGCGCCCCTTCACCCGTCCTCCTCCCACGCACCATTTCCTGTCTGTTTCTTCGAAGTCTCCTCACCATCTGAGAAGGACCTGTTTTGTTTGGACAGCGATGAAGAATGTGGTTTGAGCAAGAAGCAGATTTAACACTTATATTCAGTGGCAGCACTAGAAAAGCCACACGTTTTCTTTTACAGAACTGATGGAACGCTGAGATGTGAGAATAGAGCTTTCATAATCATCAGACGTGTGTTTTAATCTAAAAATCTTCAAATGCCAATGAGAAAGGAAGGGGCTCAGCACCTTTTTCTAGGGGCAGTAAATCACGCAACTTAACTTGGCGTCTTTGAACCTCAACCGTTGATGTCAGAGGAGAATGACAGACTGGTATAAGATAATAAGATGGGAACTGTATCTCAAACACCCATTCATTACAACCATGGAATGCAAAATACCATCTCTAAGCTTGACATGTTGAACCTTGAAGAAGAGAGGTTTCAGCAGTAGAACATTATACTATACTCATAGACTAATAACTGGAAACTGAGGCTACAATTTCCTCAGGTTCACCGAACCTAACAAAAAATAGGAAAAACATTTTCTGATCCGACGGACCAGGCAACATTCAGATACTAGGCTCAAAATGTGTTGTGAAAAACATAAAAGTAAGGATTCAACGTGCTTTGTGACGTCAAGCTATAGGTGGCCATTAAATGATATTTCGGTCATTAATTTAAACACTACAACCCACCCAATTATTGCTGCATGGCAGAATATTCCAAAATGCCTGAGGAATGTGTCCATATTGTTTAATCAATGCTAAAGATAATTAAGACAAAAGAGGATTACCAATTTTTACTAGAGGATGTACCCAATAAAATTTAAAACATAGGTGGGACTCAAGCTGTAAAAATAGCTTAGCCTCACATATTGTCATCTCAGATGTAGACTGCAACCTTATATTAGCTATAAACTATATGATAAAATATTTATAGCATTAATTTAAGCTCTGGCCATATTCTCTTTTTTATATATATAAAGCTTATATGTGCAATAGAGTAGCAAGTTCATGCAAAATGTTTCTACATATGGCTTTTTTATTCAGTATCTGTGATTGAACAAAGAAGATTCTGTTCTCAAAGGACTTCCAGAAAGCATTAGTTCATAAGAAAGTAGTGAAACATCTGGAGATTGAGTGCTTGATAAAAAAATATATATTGCATCTACATTTGCATAATGCTCAAGTTATTTGATTTCCCACAGGTTTTTAAAATCAAAATAATCAATATAAGTACAAGATTTGAAGATAAATCTTTTTTTTTCTTCCTTCTGTGCATCTGTGTAGCAGATGACCATTTGGACGCCTTTGTCAATGGAAAAGGAGCAAAATTTGTCCCAGTGCCACAGAAGAGCCTTCCTGACCTACCACCACCCAGAACAGTAAGTTATTCCCAGCTGTTCCCGTTCCATCAAAGTAAAGCAAAGAATTAGGAGATTTTAAATTTAGCAGATAGCACTGACATCCAGAAACTGAATTTAAATCAGGTGGAAATTATTAAATTGTCAGGTTTGCAAAATGAGTTCAGTGACATAAGTGTCTTGCAAAAGGTTTACACACTCCTTGAATCGTCTTAACATTAAAACTACAAACTTTGATTGTCAGTGAACAAAGTTTCAACTCTTATAGATTCTAGGTTAGATTTAGATCTGGACTTTAACTAGGCAACTCTCACACATATGATGATGTAGCAATCACAATGTTTCAGCTTGGGAAACGCATAGTGACTTGCATGAGTTTTGGTTCAGAGTGACCAGAATACCTTCTTCCACATGCTTGTTATTTCTCCATTGAGGCCCAATTATTGTACTCTATGACTAATAGTTGTTCCGTCAACAAATTCTCACCATTGGCCCTTTAGCTGCTTATTTGATTATTGCTCCCATTAGTCAGTCTATCAGTTTAGGTCAAGGGTTGGTTTATCCATCAATGAAGTCACCTGGCAATTATCTCAAATACTTTCTGCACTAAAGATGTATGTTTTAAATTTGAAAATGAAGTGTAACTTTTCCTCCACTTGAGTTATTCAGTCATTTTTATTGTAACTTTACAAGCAGTAACAACATTCAAGGTCTGCAAATACTCTTGCAAGGCATTGCAATAATAGGCGGTACTATCATTAATATAATGCAAACCTAATAATATTTGCTTTTATTTATCTGAAACAGGCAAGAAAAAAATTCTACAGTGTTTACAAGCCTATAAGTCACAGAAACAAGTGACCGCACACTAAAGCAGCAATTGCTCAGGAGTGTGTGAGTGGTAGGCCTTTGTGTTGACCAGGAAATTACTGGTTCCTGAATTGGCCCAGTGTGACTTAGGGAAAATGGCAGAGAATGAGAGGCTTAGAACATCCCATCAACCCCTTTGAACTTTACACACACAGACACAGCGGCCTTTCCTGATCTAAACCACAGTAGCAGCTGTTGCTAATCAGACCAAATCCTTAGTGTCAGCACATCTTTGTGTATGTGTTGTGTATGTGTGTAAGTGAATGTCTGAAGAGCATTTATCTGTTAAAAATGTCCAGAAGTATTCCAATATTTTTTATCTCTTAGACCTTTTATCATTCTAGCACAGTTGGAGTAACTTCACATCTGTTGTATAGCATCCACAAATCTTTCTGAAATGTCTGGCAAAGCAATTTCTCTTTGTCTCTCATCCACATCCAGTTCTGGTGTCACTGGTCCAGTCTTGGGGAGTCTAAGTAGACAAGTCCATAGTGAACCACTCTTTGGGAATCCTTTCATCTGTCTGTGGGGTTTCCATCCATTTGCCGTGATAGTGTATTCAAGAGTCAACATGTGCTTCACTGTGAACGCAGAGTCCCCTCTTGTCACCGCAGTGAACAGCGACCCTTTGCTGTTTATGTAATGCCCGGGCATGGCAGTCCACTGACCAGTCGTAATGTTGTAGCAGTCCATCAGGCAGCGCAGGAAGTCATCGCAAGGCCCGTTCCTCATCACATACAAATTGTCCCTGTGGGCCACCATACAGTGGCCGTAGCTTTGCGGTCTGATCATGGTGGTGGTGAGACTCCACTTATCTATCAGTGGAATGTATTCATAGATATCTGTAGTGTCAGGGGGTTTCCAGAAGCAAACAAACATTCGCTGACGAGCAATAGCACAAGCTGCTGATGCTACAGGTCTGGGTGCGTGTTGGATAAATGTCCACTCTCCCCTTGCTGCGTTGTACTTCTCTGCTGTGGAAATGATCTGTTTTTGAGCTTCTCCACCAATGGCATATAGGCGCCCCTCATGCCCAAGCAGCGTAAAGTCGTATCTTGGTTGCTGTGGACCTGGAAGAGTTGTCCATATCCCTGAATCTGGATTGTAACAGAATGTTCTGTCCACTGTGTCTTTGCCATAGCCGTAAATTCCTCCAACAATGTACAGCCGATTGTCAAGCACAGCCACCCCAGCCCTGGAGGTACTGCAAAGAGTTGGCAGGTTTGTCAGATGCTTCCACTCCCCTTCCTTTTCATCAAGGAAGCAAACAACCCTGAAAGTGTCCTGCAGCAGCTCCATTGATGGCGTATGGGTACCGATGGCGATATAACTAGCAGGGGAGAGTGCTTGAGAGTATTTGAGCAGCTCTTCAGGAATTGTGCTTTCTGCTGCTTCCTTGAGGTCATCAAAAGCATCACAAAGAAAGAGAGCGGCATTCTGAAACAGTCTGTGCACTCCATAGATGGAAGCCGCGTGGTAAAGCAAGAGGCAGTTATCCGAGTCTATGATGTCGCAAAGATGCCGAGTCAAAGTGGGAATCTGCAGGAAAGCAGCGCACTCTACGGCTTCAACAAGCTCTTCTGGGTCCCTGATGGGGGGGTTCTCATCCCTGCAGACAGCAAGCGCAATAAGGAAACCTCTTGCGTGCACTCCTCCTCTCAGATATAGCTCCCCTTCCAGGCTTTCTTTCATCCCTGAGTGAAAGAGAGCTCGGAAATAGTCGCTGTGCCTTACAAGAAACCCGCGGTTAAGATGGAACCAGCTTTCCTCCACTCTCACTCTCACCCAGTCTGCCTGTGCTTCCTCCAGATCAACAGTTGGATTCCCGGCATTGATATCCTGGCTGATTCCCAGGCTCTCGGGTGCTTCCATGATCGTTCAAACCAAGACCTCATCTTTCTAAAACAGGCCCCAAGTAATTATTTGGTGCATGACCTGAATGTAGATTAGCCATTTTCCCTCTAACACTGCATGAGTTTAAGTATGAGCTGAACTGCGTCCTGCCTGCCTGGTCTGAAAATAGATCTGGCTATAGATAGCCACTGTGTCACTTGCAGGCATTGGGCAGGAAAGAGAAACCATTGACATGCACTGTGAGTTGTGTTGCTGTTTGGAACTACAGTGCCTTGCAAAAGTATTCACACACTTAATTTTTTTATGTTTTCCACAAACTTCACCTGAAATGTATTGGGATTTCATTGATTTATTTAAAAGGTGGGAAAGTAAGGAAAACAGTTTTTTAAAAAAACAAATTAAAATCTGCCAAGACTCGTTCATTTGCACTTTATGCAACTCAGTATTTTGTAGAGGCAGTTTTTGCTAAAATTACATCTCTGAGCCTTTGCTGGCAACGGTGGCAGGGGTTTGTTCAGGGGTTTGTTCTATAATTGGTGGGTTGCTGGTTCGATCCCTGCTCTGTCCGACCCTGACGTTGTGTCATTGAGCAACATCTGTTGAGTCCTTGGGTAAGCTACTACACCGCCTTGCCTGCTGGTGGTGGCCAGAGGCGCCGGCATATGGCAGCCGCTATACAATTACAGACCGTTTACCATTTGCTCAGTAATATTGTCTGTAAATAGTCATTTTCAAGTCCTGGTACAACACTCTCAGTCTGATTTAAGTCTGGACTTTGACTAGACTGTTTTAAACATGGTTTGATCTAAATCTTTATACTTCCGATCCAGTGTATGGAAGCCTCGGAGATTTTCCTCCAGGATTGTTCTGTTTTCAGCTAAATGCATTGTCCCATGGAGCTGTGATAAATAATAAATCAATTAATCGCATGATAAATTAAAAGAAGTTCAATAATTTTCATTCGCTTAACTTATCGTTTTTCTCTTTTTTTCCCTCTTTTTACCAAAAACTTAATGATAGAAGTATTCAGTCTGGTGCTTTAGTCTCAATTTGCCCTCTTTGTGAAAGATAATTTTATTTACAGAGACTTCTTTATTCATTGTATTTGTTGTTTTCTGCATTTATTTTGGATATTTACAATATCTTCCAGTTCCAGTGTTTAAATATTCATTGGAATTTAAAGGTTATTGATCCTTAAGAATATGTTCTCGCATTACTGTGTCATTATTACTATTTTATTACTTGAGCTCAAAACAACAATATCATTGTTTATCATTGGGGTAATTTATTGTCTAACAAAATTTGTTATTGTGACAGACCTACCCATTGATTCTGACCAGATTCCCTGCCCCTGTTGAATCATCCCCACAGGATGATGCTGCTACCACTGTGTTTCATAAAGGGGATGCGTGTTTCGAGTGATGGACGGTGGCTTCATCTCGTTTGAGCACCTTCTTTCACATGTTTGCTGTGCCCTCTATCAGGACTTCTTAAAGCTTTTTTTTTTAAACTTTTTCTCCTCATTGTCCTGGGATTTATTTAGGCGTATCAATGTAATGGGGGTCATGTCAAACTTTCCAGATTTGTATTTCTAAAAAAAAAAAGAAGAAATGTTAGAAACAAAAACTGTTGGAAACTCCCCTCATTTATAATTTTTTTCTGGTCAGTCACATAAAATTCCAAATGAAATACACATAAGTTTGTGGTTGTGGCATAAAAAAATTTGTGGAAAAGCAATAAACTACTATTTACTTTCACAAATGCTGAATTGGTCATAATTGTGCATCCTTTTAAATCTAATTTGTTTTGTTGTCAAGTCTGACCAATGTGGATTTCCTGTAATTTTGCATAATTTTTGTTTGGGTGTAAGAAAAAGTTTATATTTTACAAATCGGAAAACATCCCTTTTCCCGAGAAGTCAAAACAGGAAATAAATGCAGAACGTATACAGACTGACTTATGAGTTTTCCTTACTGCCCTTGGAAAGCTGAGCCGCACTTTTCTATTTTAACTTCAATAGGAAGTGATGAGAGTGGCAGAAAATATAGGATTTCTGAGAGTTATTTTTTCTCTGATAATTTTTATCACCAACCCTCTGATCTGCTATGAGTGCCCTACAGGACATCAGCTCCTCTGGGTCTCTGTGTTTGCATGTGTTTTTGCTGCAGCAGATTTTTGGCCTGGGAACCAGGGATTTTCCATGTTCCTCAGAGTGTTCGTCTTTTGGGCTCTTTTTCCCACTCTCCCCTCAAAGCCCCTCCACCACACCCATCTCCCTCCCCCTCTCTCTCTCTCTTTGTTATTTATGCCCCAACTCCTCGATCCATCCCGTCTCGTCTGTGTTTCTGTGGTGAGGATGTGTGCATGTCTGAGTGTGAGACAGAGACAGAAGTGAAAGCAACAATCTGAATCTGACTGGAGGGACGACAAAAAAAAAAGTAGTTGGCATGTGTCCTTTTTTCTCTTTTCTTGTGTGTCTTTTCCAACATTCCAGTTGGCCTTCGCCCACACAACAAGGAGATTTACTTTTTGTGAAGATGACAGAAATGGAGGGAGAAGAAAGGAAAACAGATAGAGATAACAGTGGGTGGGCGGTGTGGATGGGGGGGTTGCTGCCGCTGCTGCTGCCGCTGCTGCTCTGGAATGCTTGTCGTTTTCTTTTTTTGTGTGTTTTGTTTTAATTAATAACAGATGCCTTCACTGCTCTGTGTAATCTGTTTTGCAGTCTCATTAAGGGGATGTTTCTTCAAGTGAGGGCAAAAAGCATTTAGACCCCTAATTTGAAACATGAATTTCTAATTTAGTTTAGCTGTTTCTGTAAAACTCTGGGTAGGTTTCTGACTAATCTAACCCACCCAAATCCTCTTCTGAAGAACCAGAGTGGGCTTGGACGTTCCTGTTATTTTACTTTTTTTAAAAGAAACTTCCCTCAGCCAGTTGTTTTAGAGAAAAATATCACTATTTAAATGTTTTTTACCATTACTTTCATTTACTCCGTTGCCACTTTGATTGAAAGAAAACGTGTATCTCAGTTATGAGACAGCTAAGTCACAATATTAATTTTATTAGGAAATAAAACTATTAGAACTTATTTCTTATTGAGTCCAGGCTTTGCACCATTTATATCGCTGGATGATGACCGAGGATCACCACCTATTGCTTTTCTGTGGAACATAACTCAAATTTATGTGGGAAATTTGTCTATTTATGTATTTTATCAAACAATGGAGGATGTTAGTTTCTGTGGTAGTATTAAGACCGTTTTCACTCTGCGTATTACTACATATTAAAGCATATTTGGTATTTGAATGATTAAAATAGGCAGTTATAAGCATTTTGAGGGCGTCTCAGGTGTTTGGATTTCAGCTGTTTGTGGGCAGATAATGGGTAAATATGTAAATACTTTATTGACATTGAAAACATGTTATTGAAGGAGACAGTAAATGCATTTTTTATAAATTACTGAACAAATTATATAGTATAAGAAGGGAAAAATATATTAAAGTAAAACATTCATCAGTTTGTCAGTTTTTTCTCTCTCCATTGATTGTATTTGGCTCAAGTGCAACATCCATACCTGTTAGGCTCTTTGGTTTTATTGAGATTAAATTCAACTTCTGGGTGTTTGGTACAATGAAAGCCTTAAACATTCATTTCAACAGTGTCAGCTTTAGTTTCTCCTTTAAAGTTCTTCAACCGTCTTTCAATCAACTGACTGACTGGTGCAACCATAATATATGTTGCAACATCAGGACTGCCTCAGAAAATGCCTGTTGATGTCATCATTTTCCAGCTTATTAGTTGTTTGTTGCATAATATAAGTTCCTATCATGTCATATGGAGGATTTTGCATAAGATCTTTTGATATACGGATAGTATGGGGAAACAAATGACATAAATACAAAACCTTAAGCATGGCGCTTTTAAAGCAAACCCAGAATGTCTTCCTAATTTGGCTTTCACATGACTTTTAGTAATTAACGTTATTCATTCCCAATTTAGCTTTATAATAGTTAGCCTAACCCTAATCTTTTATCTGTTGTAATTAATGATAATTAGTTTAGTTTTTGTTTGTATTTTTTTATTTTGAGTATGTGCAAAAATCTGCTTCTTTGTGTCTCAATATCAATATTATCTGACCCTTAATGTGAATGAAACTTGCACGGTAAATAATGACTGATTCATTGATCAGCTGCCACACCAAATCAATTTATTTTTAAACAGTTTCAGGCTCCACCTTTAAAACTGATTAATAACCAAGATACATACATTTTCAGAAAACAAAAACCTGAAAGTGACAGCTATACATTTGCTGATGTTTGCATTCTGAACCATTACAGAACCCTCAAACATAAAACTGCTGTTCTCTTCTTTTTGCTGTGATGAAAACATTTTTCATCCCACGCCCGCCTTTGGTGGATCCATTCCTGCATGTTCTGGCATGCGGGGTATTGAGCCCAGTCGTCGTCACTGTGACTGTGCGCAGACCGTGACATGACGCCACGTATTATGACAGCTTGCTGCATCTGCTGTGCATTACTGGAAATGTGTGAGATGGTTGACCTGATATTGTGGGAACAGCTCTTTAACAGGGACCTCTCTGATTAAAGGGAGTGACATGACGAGTCTCTGACAGCCCACATTAGAAATAATGATTGTTATTCATAGAGACAAATATGGTTTGTTTTAAGTATGTGACTCAATAAAAAAAAAAAAATCTAACATTTTACAGATTGGTTATACACCGACCTCAACATTTTTTGCATCCCTGTTAAATGTGTGTTAAAATCCTTAAAATGCATAAAACAAAATTATCAGTGACACATTTATTAAAGCCTTCAACAATTCTTATTACATAAAAGTAAGGAAATAATATTTAAATTTAAACCTTGTCCTGGCACTTTAAATTAGAAATCAGCAACTTTTATTTTCCTAAAGATAATGTGATAAAGAGACCCTTTTCTCTTAGCCACAAGTTAAGCTGATCTCTCCACCACAAACCACGAGCAGGATGGTAGGGCAGGGAAGGGGAAAAAATCTCCAAAACTCAGGGTGAAGTCTCCATAACAACAATTAGACATCATTACTACAAACAAACTTGTTTGGGAGGCATCTGGATGAAAAAGCCATCTCTGTCAGAGTA